TCTTTTGCCTGCCCCCATAGGGAACACCCTCTCTAACATACACGAACTTTTGGGTATTTGCTTCAGTCCCAAGAGTGGACAGACCTGGGTCGTTTGGCGCTGGTGGGATTAATTTGCCTTCAACATGCGATGCAACAACTGCTTCTCCCTGTCACCCCAGTAAATAGACGATTTAACAGAACTCGAGTGCTGCCGTTATCACAGACGCACCTTGTGATCTGTTTCGTAAGGAAGCATTGGCAGGCATTGTGGAATTACCGGACATCCCCGGGATAGACGAGTCCTTGGATGTGATGATGCTTGACAGACGAAGAGAGAAAAGAAAAAAACTGTACTTTGCTATGTATTACGTGTGATGTCGGTAGTAGCACCGAAGCCAGCATGGAAGGGCTGGAAGTTTAAGAAGAAGGATAGGGTTATAGCGCTTCATTTCAAGTACTTATCACATATATCACTTTCACTATCTACTAACCTAGGTAAACCTACCTGCTAAGCTAACTTTTTTACTGAAAGTATTTGCCTCGGCTGTCCTATGACCAGTCTTGAACACCTTTGTGTGTCGGGCAGAGCCTATCTATGCCAGTAAACATCACGAAAACAAATACACACATAACGACTCAATAGACCAATTTTGGGCTTATTTGATTTCTAATTATTGCAGTGCCCTCGCAAGACCGACCACCCCCTATTCGGGCCCTTTGTATCAGTCGAACCTGGCTGCATCTTGATGAACAAAAGCATTGGAAAGCCGCCCAATGAAACCAAAATACTGAGGGTAAAAAAAGGAAAAACAAAATATATGCGGATTGAACCCACCGTTCCGCATTATTATACATGGTTGACACTATCATCTCCTTCCCATCACTTCGCCGGAATTTAGATGGCTTCCACATCTTCCAAACCCTCCTTGCTAAGAGCAAAATCTGATGAGGAGTCTTTATCGTGAGTAAGGGTGAAAGCCGCGGTTTCCACCTCGTCCTCCACCACGATAATTAGCTCCAGGTTTGCCGGCGTTTTTGGGTCCCGTAGGCGCATTGGCGGGTGGTGCATGTTGCGGGTCAGAGTTCGCACTGGCACTGCCAGCACGGTTAAAGCCGCCCGAGCCTTGGTTGGAGTTTGGCTGAGGAACATCGTCGTACATGCCCTCCCATGAAGTAGGGGCCCCCCCTCCTCCACCCATACCATAACCTCCATGTCCTCCATGACCGCCGTAGCCTCCACGGCCTCCACGACGACCTCCTTGAGCTTGTTGGTATTGATTATAGTTGTTGTTGTCGTATCCTCGACCACCGCCGCCGCTGGCAGAGGCAGTGGGACTAGCACTACCGGAAGCAGCATCTTGACCACCTTGCTGGCCCTGCTGTTGCATCATCTGCTGCTGCATTTGTTGCATCTGCTGCATCATCTGTGGGTTCATGTTCTGCATCATGTTCTGAGCATTGGCACCGCCGCCTCCTCGACCCATCATCTGCTGTTGCATCTGTTGCATCTGCATCATGTTCTGCCACATGGCTGGGTTCATGGGCATTCCTCGGCTCATGGCCATTTGTGACTGCATCATGGCGAAGTACTGTTGCATGCGTTGGAAGTATTGGGCCATAACCTGGGGTGTCATGCCGTTGTTGCCCATCTGTTGGCCCATGGAGCCCTGGCTTGACTGGTCGCCGTCCTTTCTGAATTTGCCGCGTCGTGATGCCTCTTCCTCTTCTCGAAGGTTACCCCTGGGCTGGGCTTTCTTGACCTCGATGGGTTTCCCATGAATTTCCAGTGGCACGTTGATACAGGCATCAACACCGGCTTCATTTTCAAACGTCACAAAGCCAAACCCTCGTGGACGACCGGTATCTTTGTCCATCATCAGAGTCGCATCTACAACGCGGCCGAACTGTGCAAAGTATTCCTTGAATTCTTGATCGGTGGTTTCCTGGCTGACACCTCCGACGAAGATCTTACTGGTCTTCTCTTGTTCGTCTCTGGGAATGGCGCGTTTGGGGTCGATCTGCAACGCAATTAGAGTGGTGAGTTTGGCCATTTTAAGATATATATGACTTACGATCTTGCCATCAAGGAAATGCTCCTTGACCATGACGATATTGACAGTCTTGGCGTCCTTAAAAGTCAGAAAACCAAACCCTCGCGACCGGCCGGTACTGCTGTCTCTCATGACTGTACATTCAACAACTTCACCGAACTGCGAGAAGTAATCTCGCAATGATTCTACCGGCAACTGTTAGTACAAGTTTGGAGAGCTGCATATGTTTGTCACTTACGATCGGTGGTTTCCCAGTTGAGACCGCCGATGAACATTTTACTAAACAAACATGTCAGTATACTTTCATCTTAGAGTTGTTCATGCATTCTGAATAACAAGGCTGTTGAACACGGGTCTCCTAGGCTTGATAGAACAATAGGACCCAGCTGAATGGCAAAGTGGCTTGCTCAGAAAGGGCTGCGAGTTTGCAAATGATCAATAGTTTGCTGAAACCTTAACCTTGGCTTAGAGAAAAGAGCCGACAATCGAGATTTGAATGCTTGGTACAGCAGAAAAACAGATAGATGGCTGCGGTTTGGTGATTGCAATGTGATGAAGGAGTTTGTATCCTTGAAAAAAATGGGTCATGAAGGGCAATATGGGTGCATGCAGAGGAGTGTACAGCCCAGCAGGAGGTCGATTGATTTGAAAGTTCCTGTTTCTTCGGCTTGCTTGATGTTGGCGGCAATTTCTGTAAGATCCCTGCGTGTGGATGCATCAAGGCCAACATAACAAGGACCATGGTTGACAAACGTTGACCAAACGGCCATGACAGTCGAAAGTATGGCGCAGACATTGCAATGAGAGATGCCAGATCAGCTTGGTCGAATACAATTTCGTCTTGTGCTATCGTCTTGACTGTTCTCTCTGTCTCTGTCTCATGCTAGGTACTGGCCTCGAGCGCTATTCGCTGCGAATCTCGCTATAGCACTCGAGAGTGTTTACCACTCCCGTCGGTTCAATAAGATCTCTGCGACTGAGGGCTATGGAAGACTCAAGTAGTAGTGTCTTTCGTCTGGACTAGTGCCGAATGATTCATCCTGAGATGTCCGTCCACAGGGCGTAACCCAGTACTGATTGTGACATCCTCCTCTTCCTCTCATAGCTCATAGACAATAGCAGCGGACTCGCCACAAACTGGTTATATCTCTTGATCCACATATCCTCCTGAATGAGTCATGATAACTCTTCCAATCTGAATCTTTGCCGTTTGATGTCTCCGATAGCAAAACCTCTTTTTCTTAATTTGACCACGACCCTCTCTAGCCAAGCCAACTTCCGAATTGTATGCAAAAGCTAGACCGATGGCCACTACTACGTGGCAACGTGGCAGTTGCCATGAGGATTCAAGGTTGTAAACACGCAAGGCGAACCGTGATATTCTCGCAAGAGCGAATTCAAGAAATGTAATCACAATGCAGAAACAGTAAAGACTTACCCATCTTCTTTGGCACTCGCCTTGTGTACAGTTCCGTATGGAGGTGTTGGAGCATCGTCATGCATATCAGCCTGGCCTGTGTGACCGGAGCCGCCGTATCCTCCTCCACCGAGGTTGAAGTCGACATCATCATCATCGTCATCCTGATCTTGAGTCATGTGTTCATCACCTCCAGTTTCTTGATGTTGTTGCATCCCGCTATGATCATCATTGTCGTTGTTATGGATGTTAGTAGGAGGCTGAGCTTCTGGGGCAGGGGGGACTGCTGGAGCGGGAGCAGACGCTGGCTTTGCGGCATCGTTGTCATCGTAGCTGTCTAAGAGTTAGCATCCTAGGTAGACGCATATGGTGTTTATGCTCGCGGCTTATATTGCGATGGATACTTACAGGTCGGCGAAGAGATCATCCTCGAAGTTCTCGGGCTCAGTCATGGCGACGGTTGAGATTTGGCGCGTGTTCGTGATAGGAAAGTTCGAAAGCTTGGGGAGCGCGAAAGAAGCGAACGACGGGATTCGCGCACTCTACACTAAAAAGCTGTAATGGGTGAACAGGGGCAGGTAGGAAGAGATGCGCAATTGATATTGAGAACTGAGTCGAATCAAGAGTCAAAGAAAAGGAAGAGGAGGCGACCGAACCATGAAGGTAAAGAAAGGTGCTAGGTTATCAAGCCGCAGAGCTAAAGCCTAACTGACTTTACTGACTAAGCCAAAAGTGGTCCAATCAGAAAGCAGCACCATTAAGTTACAAACAAACAAGAACCGGAATCTTGGGTTCTTTTCGAAATTCAAATGCTTACTCCGTATATCACTGAGATTTGGAAGATGATGAACTTGAAGTTGATTTTCAAAATCGAACTCTTGCCTACTATTTGAGAGCATTTTGCCCTTTACATTTCATGCTTCTCCGTGACAACCCCTAAATTCCCTGTCCATCGTCTCCAAGCTCCATTGTCAAGAACGCTGCCTTGTTATTTGGGCATTACATGGAAAGGGAGGTTTTGTTAACCTGGCTCGGACCGCATGCGCTCGTTGGTGAATCGCTCTGGGCTGTAGTTATTCGTACTCCGTAATGTACCAAGGCTCGTACCGCCTGTTGGTTGAGGAATCCGCCCCGTGGCCGGAGAGCTGAGCTCAGGCCACAGGGTTAAAGCACAGTCCTCAATTAGCAGACACCCCCCGCTATGAACCTGTCCGAACCCGCTATTTCCAAGCCATGGTAGTGCTGTTTGCGGGGTGATCTCGTGGTTGAACCAGGGCAGCCTAATTAAGCCCGTTTCCATTATGCTTGATTGATCCATAGTAGAATAGGTCGACCAACCCAACCTACTGACTTTCTTGCACTTCACAACATCATTGCGTCGCGTTACATCGCAGCATGTGAAATACCTTCCAAGGCTCTTGTCCACGGCCTCTTTTCCTCTTTAGCGAACCATGTGGTCGTCATCTGGCAGCGGCAAGAAGCCCGCGCAATCTGTAAGTCATGACTATCAGCGTTGAAGCTCTCTGCTCTGTACTCACGAGACTCGACGTAATGGCGCCCGCCTCTGCTAACAGCCCCACCGCCGCAGGAGATGGTCCAAGTCGGTATGTTCAGCGAGGAGTTGTGAGATGTCGAATGTCTGCTGATATAAGCTCGATTGCTTCGAGGCAGACCGATCAGAGTATGTATTCGCTGACATGGGGTTCCTTACCCTCCAAGCTTGTGCGCTGAAACTTATACAACTAGGTCCGTATCGCCATTTTGGAGACCGCCACCACGAGACAGCTCTACTCCAAAGAGAAACATCACGTCGCCCACAGGCCATGGCTCAGGTCTTGTTGTTGGCGCCTCATATTCGCATGCGGATATGCTCAAGTTTGACTCTTTGTTAGTTGGCTTGATCTTGCTCAATGCTTAGTTATTGTTTGCTGATGTCAATCGCCAGAAACCTCTCCAACTCATCTCGACCACGAACACCTCCTTCTTCTTCAGCTAAGATCCGGATTCAAGAAGCTTCTCCACCGTCGAGGACCACGCCTGGAAAGAATGGTTCACCTCCATACAAGAGCTATATCAACTTTCTCTCCAATACAAACGATGACTGGAAAGCAGACGAGGACGACATGATGGGCTACGAGGATGACGATGGGGATGACTTTGGTTTGCCAAGTTTGTCGAGTATGAAGAGGAGAACACGGCGCATTGCCACACAGAACAAGGCCGAATCAAGTACATTGTCACCGACAACAGAGGGGCCTCCTAATGCTCTCTTGGCGAGACGATACTCAAATAGTGCCGACATCGCAATAGAGCGACCCGCGCCCACATATCCCATGCCAAAAAAGAGTGAGGGGAAGATTCTTCGGCCTCAGTATAAAGAAATCTTAAAAGGTTTGCTGATCACACTTCAAAGTGCTGTCGCAGAAGTACTGACGATGACTATCAGACCCCGCCAACGCTCTGCACCTCATCAACTATCCCACGGTTCCTGCCAATGCCACTCCCAAGGAAGCCGATGCCATAAACTCCCGAATTACACGTATTAATAAGTTTAAGAAGCTGTTACAAGCTTCCACTATTTCACTGCCTGATTTGAGGTCACTCGCCTGGTCTGGCGTACCGCAAGAGGTGCGCGCCATTACCTGGCAACTCCTCCTCAGCTATCTTCCTGCGAATAGTGAGCGCCGGGTCGCCACCTTGGAGAGAAAACGGAAAGAATACTTGGATGGTGTACGACAGGCATTCGAGAGAGGAGGGAACTCCGCGACTACTGCAGCCAACACAGCCCCAGCCGGCCGAACAAGGGGCCTGGACGAGGCCATCTGGCACCAAATCAGCATTGATGTACCCCGGACAAACCCGCATATTGAGCTGTACAGCTACGAAGCTACGCAGCGATCACTTGAGCGCATTCTGTATGTATGGGCTGTGCGACATCCTGCCAGTGGCTATGTGCAGGGTATCAACGACCTTGTAACGCCTTTTTGGCAAGTCTTTTTGGGGATTTATATTGGAGATCCTGATATCGAGTCTGGAATGGACCCAGGACAGCTCCCGAAGTCCGTGTTAGACGCTGTCGAGGCTGATTCCTTTTGGTGTCTGACAAAGCTTCTCGATGGCATCCAGGACCACTATATCGTGGCGCAACCAGGGATTCAACGCCAGGTTGCTGCTCTCCGTGATTTAACAGCACGTATAGACGGCAACCTGTCCAAGCACTTGGAAAAAGAAGGCATTGAATTCATACAGTTTAGTTTCCGTTGGATGAATTGTCTCTTGATGCGTGAGATCAGCGTCAAGAACACAGTTCGCATGTGGGACACTTATTTGGTTTGTCAACACCCATCTTCTGGCAACTCTCAAAAAACTAACTACTTGTCAGGCTGAAGAGCAAGGATTTTCCGAGTTCCATCTATATGTGTGCGCAGCCTTCCTTGTGAAATGGTCAGATAAGCTCCTGAGCATGGACTTCCAGGAGATCATGATGTTCCTCCAAAGCCTTCCCACTAAGGATTGGACGGAGAAGGACATCGAGCTACTCCTGAGTGAGGCTTTCATTTGGCAGTCCCTTTTCAAGGGTTCTGCCGCACATCTAAAAGGCCAACCGCCCCGCGAACCTGTTACCAACCTACAGCTGTGAAGAATCCCGTTGTCTTGTACAGGGTTAAATGATCATATAGGAGCGACTTTTGGAGTTGGTTCATAACGGGTGTGGCAAGGAGTTGTAGCAATGAGGAATTGCTGCGATATATTGGCATCGTAACGAGGATAGGAAATCATTATCGGCATCTTCCTCTTGTATTTGGTTCCTGGCTGTACGAACTCGGCAAAGTATGAGTCTTTGTGATAGGGTTTGGTATCATATTTATTATTTAGGGTGGATTAGCCCAACTTCCTACAGTCGAGAATTAAGAATTAGAGGACCCCTTCTATCCCATCTCGTCCTTATCTTTCATTCATCCAACATCATTTGTTTTGGGGTATGCCTCAGTTACATGATTTTGCCTCCCAAGGTATAAAGGGTTTTTAGACAGCCAAGTGTCTTGAACGCGCTGTATGCCATCCACATTATCTCAGATTTCCAGCCACTCATAGAGAAACAATCCAACTCCGGAACGCCAGGCCGTGAATATTAATATATACGTGAGCACCAAAACCATCCAGTTTGATGGTGGATCAGTGTGCTGTAAACATGTGCTGTCGAAACTCAACTCAGTTTACCGTATTGAATCCTTTCTGGGCTCTATCAAGTCTCTTATGAATCCAAGCTTCTCGCGGTCTTCATCGCAGACTCGAGCCCACTCAAGTAAGAGGCGCCAAGTGTACAGGCGCATATCTTCGCGACGCAAGACTTGGCTGGCCCAGTCTCTTCCTCTCTCAGCAATAAATCGCGCGGCGGTATCCCCGCCGGCTTCTTCATCTGTAAAGAATTCGAGGATGGGGTAAAGGTCCTGAAAAGTGTTATCGAAGGGTACAAAGTGAACCCATGGAGTAAGACGGTCGTCATGCCATTCAGCATAGATAGTAGCCTTGAGAGGCATGCTCGAGGAACGTAAGAAGCCACGAAAACGGGCGCTGAATGAATTGCCGTCGGTATCAGGCAAAAACTTGTAGCGGTACTGCTCCTTCATGGTCATATGCTTCAATTCGCTATAATAAGGCGTGACAGGATCACAGCCAACTTTTTCACAAAGAAGACGTTTGAACCCACAGTCAGAGATTTGCATCAACCATTGACCAATAGTTTTGGAGGCGCGATGGGTGCTGTTGTAATGGTCGGGAGTTGGCAGTTGAAATGTCTTGGGCTTGACGCCTTGATGCTCAACACTGTCAACATATGAGCCATTCAGCATCTGGATAAGACGGTGACGATGGAAGCGATGCCAGACATCAGCTCTCGGCTCGCCACCAGAAGCATCACCTCTCCAAACAACGCCGGTTTTCTTGGCGTGCCATGCTGGACCCATCTTCTCCCCTCCAGAATAGAATTCGTCGGCAGTAAGGTACATGGCGCCAGGGATGAGGATCTCGTTGTTCATAGGAAGCTTAGATCCGCCAAACAATGGTATCAATTCGGTAGAAGTCGACAAACTGAGAGGCGCAACAAAGCTCCCGTGCATTTGGCGCAGATGTGGTTGCAAACAAGGGTCCTGGGCGGCAGTCCAATTTTTGATATAACCCTTATAAGCGTACTCGGGGTCCCAATTTGAGGGATATTCGACAGGAGCCTTAAAGTCTGAGACTTGTTGAACATTGCGTGACGGAGTGTTGGGGTCACACGTCACACGCGCGAGTTCCCAATAGTTAGCTGAGCTATTGTACCAGTAGGGATCGTAAGGCTGAGGTTTTTCGTCGTCGAGCTTGGACAAAGTCTTAAATTTTGTGACGACCTCTTTCATCGGAGCAATGCGCCGATTGCCGCGTTCTTGTTCGACAAATTTGGACAATTCGTCGAAAGGAACAAGAAGTCGAGGTTCATCCATGTAGTTGATTGGCATGTCGACGTCGGGCAAATCCTTTGCAAACTCTTGGACGAGGTTGGTCCAGAGTTCAAGCCACGGCACACGATCGGTTGCATCGCCAACACCGGTAGCCACGCCATTGCGAACTTTCACGACCCAATGCCAGGCGGATGCGCGCCTGGCTAAGGTGTGAGCGTCAAGCGCCCAATACGGAGCCAAATCCTTGTATATACGATCGAAATAATCCTCAACTACAATGCTATTGGAAGCGACTGCAGCCTCCATCCACTTATCGAAGCCTGGTGGTGGGTGACGTCCTCGGCGGGCGCGATAACGCTCAGCAGCATCATAAAGATCATGACTTCGTTTTGAAAGGAGGCTCTCGTGGCGAGCGCGGGCATCTGCCATGAGCTTCTTAATTGGGTGTTTTGGTCCCATAGTCACTGGGCCCTTGGGTTCTGTCACATCCCAGCCCTGGCTGCTGGTCCATAATATATAATTGGTGATAGCGAAGCATATGAGAAATAGGGTGCTGAGGTAGCGAAAGACTAATCGAGAAGGCCAGTTCGATAGCCATTGTTTGAACCGAGGCCACATCATGGCCACGGATATGATGTAAGATAATGCAGGAGCCGGAGGAGTCGGAGAGTCTATGCGCGCCACGGAGGAGCGGGAAAACGAAGCATCGACGGACGAATGCAAGCTCAGAGAGCGTGGCCAGAGTGCATTTTTAAGCAGGATATTATTCGGACTTGCGCCGGAGAAATATATGTTCGAGGTTGCTCTAGGTAAGAATTCGAGGGATCGCGGTGGTTTTTGTTGCAGGAAGAGATGTAGGAGCAGGAGTAGATTGGATGGAAGAAACCAAGAGAAAAGAAAAAGTAGAGAAGGGCAAGATCAGATAAGCGACGTGAGAATTGGTGAGTTGAGGTTGTGGTGTTGAGAAAGGTCAGGTGGAACGGGAATGATTTCCAGGACAAGTACCTGCCCTGTCGAGGTGGAAACTGGAAATCGCCGGGAAGTCGCAAGTCAAATCCAAGAATTGGCCTGAGTGGAGGGGGCTTTGGAGCGTGGAGAAGTTCCTTGGAGATTTGCGGAGCCACCTGTATACTACCCTAACTTGAGCAAGGTGCTATAAAGCCAGGGTGGTTGGAGCTTCGTCGTTGTAGAGGCTGTCAATTGAAGAGATCAGGGTTCGAGGGGACAGAAAAAGACTCAGGAGCATCGCCAGGCTTTCTCTCCAGTTCTTGTCCTTTTAAGGCGAGGGGTCGAAGTTGTGTCTCATCAAGATATCCAAACTCTAGCCAGATCCTCTAACTACATGTTAGTCACCATATGAAGTCCGCTTCTACGGATATGGAAATGTATCATGCAACATTTTCTGAGCTAGGTAGGCTAGAACTTCGCTTCAGGGGAGCACCATGTACCGAACAGTTTATACAGTTTAACTAATGGTGAGTGCAGAGGGTCTTGAAGACGTGTTTAAAAAGCATAATTAAGTTAGGTTGTTTTATGTGATTCAGCAACACCCAAAGTCTAACCTAAACCTTGGACTTGTTATCCCTTGTTATTCGTATTTTTCAAGTCTTGGTCTCTCACAACACTTTCCACGTAGTACTACCCATCCTTGAGATACGCCCACCTTCCGTAGGAGGTGATGAAGTGACAGCCTGCAGCCAGAAAGGGGTAGAGGGGAACCAGACAGCCAGAGTCTCAGAACGGAAACTACTGTCCTGCCCGCGTCTAGCCATTAGCGGGGTGGCTTGGCAGTCCATGTTAGTGATCGCACGCCGGGTTCTATCTACTGACTTTAGTCTGGAATGCTATTTATGTCCTTAGTAACCAAGGTATCAATCGAATCCACGCCCCTTGTGTATCTTTCACTTATGTATTCTTAATGTCTTAAAATTGATCTTTTCATTGTGATGATACGATGTTAACTAACATCAGTATCTTCACTGCTAACTACCTTGGATACGCCTTTATGCATATCAAATTAGTCGCGTCTAGTTTTTGCTTTGGCGCGTGGTGGCTGACTTTTATCCATTTGCATACGCAAAGTGACATAATAGCGGGTGACGAGGAACGTGTAAACGTAACCATAAAATGTCTCTCGTTCGCACTACATTGCGTGCGGTGCCTGTACTCCCGTCCGTACGTAGTATTTGTTCAGGGTTCAATGTTAAGCATTCCGGTAGCCATGAAAAAATGCTTGTCACTTGGCCGACATTCTGTCCAAGGGTGAACCATCAACCAGCTGTCACATACGGAGTAATAAATCACTATACGGGTCTAGCTACGGTCATTACGATCAACCATGATACGTATGTACAGACGCACAGTCGCTTTCATATATCCCTGTGTGTTATTATATCCTTGATGAGCCGCGGGTCGATGCGGGCAGCAACCGAGACTGCAAACATGGATCATAACATAAATCAAACAAACGAACCCACTTGATTCCTGAAACCGAAAGAGTCAATTGGCTCTTCCTTTGATTGTAGATATCTGAAAGGAAATCGCTGCGACCCTACAATAAGTTTTGTGTATAACCAACCTGTAATTGAAGATGCAGTTATCCCGGCTCCGAAATGACAACCCCTGTCACTGATCCAGGTCAACTCATTTGTTTAGTTTAACCGCTGGAGCCAACCACGAACTCGTTTTCACAAACTTTGTACCAGTAGTCAATGGACGACGACCCCTTTCTCGCGTGGTAAGGGAGAGAAATTCTGGGGAAGATCTTCCCAGTAGCTTTATTAGTCTATTTTTATCGTATATTTAGATTACGAGCCAAACGATTATTATTCCCTCCTTGTTTGACTGATAGTCGATAAAAATCGCGACTAATAGATGCTTGGCCCGAGACAAGTTGAAAGCTCAGCTACAGAGTACAATTAAACAAAACCAAGAAGCAGCCCCCCAGAAACAAACAATATTGGCTTGGAAACCAATCATATTACCTTGTAGTCTGATGGTTTTCAACCCGTTGGTTAGACCCGGAATGCATATTTCATACTTTCCTACAATATCTTTTAAATTCATTGAATATCCCAATACTTCCAGCTTGATATTCACATCGAAATTCTCTGTACACTACTTGGGACAGCCATATATAATCGCCACCCCAGCAGCTTAGTTGTTGTCAACTTTCAGCTAGCAAGGTATTAAAACATTTCTGAAATATCTATTTTGGCACCATCAATGCAAACATCAAGGATGACAATAGCCATATCAAAGGTCTCTGAATTTTATACTGAGGCTAATAGAAAGGCGAGAACAACGGAGATATCCGTATAGCTTCTTGCATTTTGGAAACCCTGACATGTTGATACGTCTGAGTAGTAGTTGAGCCAAGATCTAGTGTTGAGCCAGTAACACTCCCATCTCCTTGCCCAAGCAATCAAGACACAAACCAACGAACACCAAGTATTCGCCACTGGCTTTAAGAACAAGAACACGAAATTTCATTCCAGTTCATGTCGATTGGAGAGAATTCGCCTGCTTCCCGTCAGGTGGTCTAGAGGCAATGTGAACGTCATGGATTTGGGAACGTGAAACTTTCTGAACCCAGTGACAGACTGTGAGGCAAAACGATTCCCGTTAAAAACCTCAACAAAAAACAGCTCTGGATCTTTGAACCGATTTCTCTACCATCGCAAGAATCACTTCCAAAAGTCAATTACTTTCAACATCTGTCTTTCTCATAACTAAGGTCCCCGAGGTTATCGCCAGAAGAGGTGCCCCACCACACCGGCTAATCCACGGCTTTCAGAAGCCCATCTCAGCCAATCAGAACTGCCTTATTCAACGTCAGCAAGCAAAGAGGCGAATCATTCAACATCAACCAAGAAAGCTTCGCTCCGCCAACGCCGTCAACCACGCCCGCGCCAATCTCCCCTCTTTAGGCTCTTGATATCGTGCGATCGAGGTTCGCTCCTCTGCCGAATCTTTCTCTCGTTCGAAATGCTCTCTTCCACGCGGTCCGCGGCTTCAATGGCCCTCCGAGGTGCGTGCCTTGAACTCTTCCGGCCAGGCGGGCTTTATAGCTCGAACAACGAATTCGATCGTCGCGACGCCAATACATGTTACTGACTTCACTTGTCACAATAGCCAAGCCTACAACTGCCATTGTTCCTTTCCGAATTACTGCCGCCGCCTTCACGACCAACTCTCGCCGCGATGCGAGCGCCCTCCAGACTCACTCTGCAACTGGTGTAGGAAAGGTTCGCAGGGAGGTCCCGTTGCCCAGCGAGGTTGCTCCTAAGGGTGCCTTGCAGTATGCGCTGTATGTTATTCCTGCAGCCTTTGCTTGTGTCGAAAAAATTGCATTCGTTACCCAAATACTGGACCAGCACTAATCTGTTCCATTCAACAGGACCACACTTGATGCCGTCACCAACTGGGCTCGCCAGTCCTCCCTTTGGCCCATGACCTTCGGTCTGGCCTGTTGTGCCGTTGAAATGATGCATCTCTCCACCCCCCGATACGATCAGGATCGCCTCGGTATCATTTTCCGTGCTTCGCCACGACAGTCCGATGTCATGATTGTTGCTGGTACTCTCACAAACAAGATGGCTCCTGCTCTTCGACAGGTCTACGATCAGATGCCTGATCCCCGCTGGGTTATTTCCATGGGTTCATGTGCTAATGGTGGTGGATACTACCACTACAGCTACTCTGTCGTCCGAGATATGTCCCCCAGCCCCCCCTTCGTTCGCACAGTCCGTCTAACTCCCAATCAAGCTGCGATAGGGTAGTCCCTGTTGACGTTTACGTACCCGGCTGTCCTCCTACGAGTGAAGCATTGATGTACGGAATCTTCCAGCTACAGCGGAAAATGAGGAACACTCGCATTACCCGACATTGGTACAGAAAGTAAGGATTCATAGCAGAGGAGTCGATCAGAGATTCAGATTCAGCCGAATTGCGTCAGGGCAGTACTTTCAGCGGATCTATTCAAGGGAAATGCAGTGGAATGGTTGTCGTTGAGGAAGATGGCGCCCATGGAAGCATGTGCAATTTAGACAGCTCCATCTCCTATGTTAAAGTTTGTAGTATTTGCTTTCCTTGCTAGAGGACAAGGAACCAAAGGCATTATTCCCAATTCATTAAAAACTTCAATGCACTTTGTGGTTGTGGATGGTATACATCTCAAGCAAATATGTCACTCAAAGCGTAGCACGATCTTTTAAACACACCAAGCCGAATGCTTATCGTTTTAGGGAATAGACTGCCATCTACAGCCACTCCACTGAATAAGACTGTGTCCTTTTAATAAATGTCGGCTTTGACTATCAAGTGAGTTTGGTAGTTGGGGAATTTGATGTCCCCTTGATGTGAGCAGTCCTATCAGGATAATCCTTAATTGTCGACAAGTATCCTGGTCCCATAAGCTTTGAAGTGCAAAGATGAAATTCTAGATCGGTCCTAGTTTCAGAGTATGGTCATAAAAGCGATGAACATTTCCCCGTGTTGAATGGTGTTTGTTAGTTTCCAACAAGAAACAGGATTCGGACGCCCTTTCTCGATATATAAGAAATCTATTCTCTGAGACCACATTTCTACCAGTTGTGATAAATCAATGTCGAGATTAGTGTTCGGACTGTCCAGACTGTCCAGACTCAGGGATAATTATTCAGAGTTCTCCTGCAGCCACCACCCGATCTTGACCGTAGGAATTGGCTCGATTCCGCGAAAGTTCTAAATAGAGTGTGGCCATCATGTCGCTCGGATGTGCTGAAAAATTTAGAATGAACTATTTCTTGTTCCAGAAAATGAGTTTCAAAAGTGCTATCTCCAGCCATGGCTCGAACCAATGTTGACGACATGGAGGGTGACGTAGATCCTGTCATGGGGTATTATTTCTCGGCTTCGAGACTGCACTTGGCTAAATCTGACCCTGGCTCAGAAAGATTACTTGCTTGCTTCACGGTTCTGAGATATCTTTGATAATTGGCTATGTAAGGAGTAGTAGTACACGATCTAAAAAGGGGGAGATCCTGGATGCTGAGGTCTTTAGTGGAAACGGATTGGGCAGGGCGGTGGTAGATGGGAGCAGAGGTTGATACAAGGAATAGGAGCGCAGGGAGAATGACAGCCTACATGAGTAACATCGTGTGTGTGAGTCATTGTAACTGGTAGTGGTGATATGAAGCAGAGAAGCATTTTTATAACAGGAAGAACTGCCTGGGACTGAACCTAAGTTTATGATGATCCTTAGGATAATTTTAGGATCTAGATAAAATTTTAGTCAAGTTAATCCTAAGTTTATCCTAAAGTTAGTGCCTTTAGTTACGCAACAACGAAATAGTCGCCGAAGATTTCGCTGATCGTCATGATCAGAACGAGAATATCGACGATAACCTAGGTTTGAATACTTCATTCGACCAGTCTGCCTCTTAGTACTCCGGTTTTGAACCTAAAGAGCGAGTTTCCGATGATTGAAGTGCTTACCCAGGAACTCCAAAGGTCTATCTTGAACTTCGTTGTCCCAGTAAAGCGACATCGAAGTTTACTACCCATTAGAGAAGACCGACAAGACGATGGCGCAGCCCGTGAACGAGGAGATATTGACGGAACCAACCCCTGCGAGGAAATTGACCTGGCTGAGGGGAATTCTGACGATGAGATTATTGATGAACCACAGGATACAGTTGTCTCAGTTGCCTTTGACCAGAACTCGGTGACTCGGCTATATTTGCAGCACAAGAACTGCCAAGAGATTATCACCCCATTCCCCAGACCAAGTTTTAGGCTCCCTCTAGCCAAAGATAGCCAGTAAGTGTTCAAGTTAACCATCATAACTATGCTCCAGAGGGCAAAGGACTTTGTAGAGATACAAGACCTTAAAGACTTTCAAGGTAAAGGTTTCCGGGGACGAGCAATGACGGTAGGCTTTATATATAGCTTTTTGCCGTCTTGAGAGCTCAGATATAATCAATTTACTGTTTAAGTTTACACATCTAGAAGTAATCTCCATACTCGGTAGAAAGGGCGTACAGGCAGCTGATATTTTAGACCTACTAAGCGTTGATGATAACCTTTCGTTTTTCGGGGGTATATCTTGATATCATTACCGATGAGTCGGGAGAAGGCCAGGGGCTTGACATAGGGTTAAGTGTTGCATACAGGACCTATATCAGTATCACTGGACGTATATGCTGGTACAAGCGTTGAGCTCTGCGGTCTTTCGATACAATTCCAAAGCACGAACAGTCGAAGCATTGCCGACTTATCACACAAAATGGGATGACCTACAGCGTTCGTTCACTTGCGCTTTTCAAGATCCAGCCATCTAATATCACCGCTACAGTTATTTCCGGATCCCTACTGATGTGCTTTTTGTCAACAATATGTGGTGCGTTCCTGGAACAAAAGTCTTTTATCGAGTTACTCCGAGAAGACCTTCCCGGGGTCTACGACTTTCCTGAACTTAGCCTTAATCATGGGCTCTCAATTGCTGCAGGATACCCAAATATGCCAACTGCTTCTCAGCTTCACACATATAGTTGACTAGACTACCGAGTTAGATCGATTCTGTTTAGCTCTCTCAAAATCAGTTGGTCTCAGTCACTTGGCTGACGAAGAACTTGTGCAATTCCTCTATCAAGACCAAATCGTTGTCTATTTCATAGCATTATAAAACATAATCCGTTCGCGAATACAGTGACATCTGGCTAAAGTATATGAGGTGGGGATGCATAAGGGCCTTTTCGGTCTTGGAACTTTCAATCTTCTTAAGCAGATGCCACCATCTTCGATGCTTGGATCGGCTGGGGCTTTCAGCCAAGAATCCCACCTGACTGGCGCATTGAGACGGACCAGATTAGGTAACACAATTATGAGCCAAGAATACTAAAAGCATCTCCCTTCTCGATGCTCATCTAGTAGTCGGAAGAACGTCAATCACTCCTGGAAATCTCCGCCAAGGTCGATTTCGCCACGAGGGCCATCATGTGTGAGAACTGTACCTAGCCAGGTCAGTTCAGGGGGAAAACCCCTTACAAATCATGCTGTGTTTAATGCAAGTGTTGGCGTCAATCTAAGTTGTTAATAGAGCTAGCCCTCAGTAATATTTAACAATATCAGTAGTGCCAAAAGGGTTAAGGAGTTTGCTAAACTAAATAGACAAGTACACAATAGTAAATGTGCACAACTCATGGCCCTGTAGACTTGAGTAACATCTATATATAACTTAGAATATATATTAAATAAATATATAAGCATAAACCTAAGCCCTAGCAATAAGTTCATAAGTACTTAATGGAAGGACACGATCCCAATGGTTGTCATCCTTGATCTCAGGTTTACTGGAATTATTAATGTAGAAGGAAGAGCAAAAAGAAACTCCGGTACAGGGAATCGAACCCTGGGCTCCGCGGTACTGATCTCTCAGGTTATGAGAGCGCGAAATGTTAGCCACTACACCATACCGGATTGATATGATGCTTCGTTAAGGAAGCGCAACACTACGGGTTGCCAAGTCGATTTGATTGCACAGTTTGCCAACCTGCAAGAGGTCTACGATCAGTCCTATTCAATGCTCAATACTGTTCTGGGGACAGGGCCATGCATACTTCAACTTCTGACTCTTACTCGATTGTCGACTGGATCTATACTCAAGTCTGATGTCTATCTGTCAGTCATTCAAGCGTGTTACAGTGGATAAGACTTCAATGCTTGCCTGATCTTAACTGGCTCAAGAACACTAGGAACCCTTTCATTTCCCCTGCCCTTCAGTTTTGCCACTATATAGCTGGATCTGAGAGCTTTCGTCACAGGAAAATCTTTTGTGAAGCCATGACAGTTCAGGGGTACGTGACATGACTTGTCACAACAAGTCCAGTCCGATGATGCCTGCAGCGCATGGGGAACGGTTACCACACCTAGACAGGAACCTATTATGATGTTGTCAAAAGCCTGAGAAAAACCATCAAGATTGAGGACATTAAGGGACCTTTATATTCATCCATATCCTACCCATGAACGCGGCCGACTGGGGCAATAGGAGCACTGCTTCAGGGGCCTGCGACTGCCCTGAAGAGGACTATTGAAGCAACGTTGAATGGGATTCAAGGTGTGCTTTTGAGTTTCTTTGTTTTTTGGGTCTGCATGGATGAATATTTTGATGGGATATACCACTAAGGTATCCTTCCCACCAACACACCCCCAAACCGGCCATCAACCAGAGAGAACACACGCATAAGAAGCTCGGAACGCTTGTCAGAGGTCCGCCTCCTTGGTATGTCTCACGGAAATGTATAACTCGCTGCATATTACTATTGCAGTGATGATCCTACGACTGGCTTCATCACTGACCGAGTCATTGTCTTTCCTGTCAAGCTGATGTAAAAATTCGAGTTGATCCTGCTCTAACCCTTAGCCAAGCAGTTCGAGTCCGTACTTTTCAGCATAGATGAACTAGCACCACAACCCGATCACTAGGTGCCTCTGTATCGATGAACTTGTTGGTACTGGTCTTACTCATTTTATTGGGACTGAGTTATTGACAAAAATTTCCCGGGCCATTCTGCTTAACAAACGTTGCCAGCATCCCTTGTACTTACATCCTCCACCATGAGGGTGCTTTTGTCAACCTGGGATGACTTGAGTTTTGCGACTCTGTGCTGCCGAACGTCATCTTAAACACATCTCATGTTACCGCCTGGATGTCTCACTGCAGTGCTTTTTGTCGACGAATAGATAGACTTCTTGCTGGGTAGTAAGCCATCGTCAAGATATCGCAAAATACCATCCC